TCAGAGTGATTCAGGAGGAAATGGGAACAGTTTAAGGATATGTGTAAGAATTAAGTTAAATACATCTATATCCAAGTCTGATTTTGCTTGATAATATGACCAAGTCTGATTTTGCTTGATTTATTTGCTTCAGAGACACTTCTCTGCCTATCTACTTTATTTCGATAATGTCTGTACTTTGTTTGGGTCATTATTTATTTTCGGCTTTCTCAGTTTGTTGACTAAAGCAAATGAAGCAGTGTAAACATATACCACATACAATAATTTAACACTTTCAGGTATTAGCCAAAGTTCTAGCAGCACGATGACCTCACCAACTTCACCTCAAAACCCACCAGTGCCAACAAGTCAGAAAGCCATGTTTTACGCAATGAACGTCTAAAAATTGCGAAAAATCCATGTAAGCATGTTAACTTAATCAAAACAGAATCCTTGAAAAAAATGTGGATCAAAGTACTATTAAGAAAACTACAGGCAAAACAGTCAACCAGAACCTGTTGGAAAGTTTATCAATTCACTTCTGACTTTGGAAATTTATATATGTTGTCTGTTGTTTCTGAGATTGCAAAGTTGGGCTGATGCAACCAACCAATATGTTAAGGAATTGCACATCAACTAGTATTGAGGGTACAAATAGCTAAATAATAATTGATTGACGGGATACTTGTACTTACATCTAACCAAGCAGCTATTTGTTCCTGTAAAATAGTAGCGATTTTATCTTAAAGTTATTAATATCTTAGTAGGTTATAATAACCATCAAATAAGGGCAGAAAAGTTGCTTTACAAGCAACTTAAATGTTTTACTATAGTGAACATTTCAAAATACTTAATGTGTGCTTGTGATTTAAATATAAATTGTTACATCAAGTTAAGTTCAAATTTGCTTAGGCTTGGTTGTTACTGTACAAAAGAAAAGAACACAATTTTTTCGCTTACCAAATAAGTCAAGTTTCGGGGTTTGGTTGTTATTGAGTTGGAAAACTGTTTTTTGAGAATTTTAAAATTTTTCGCGAGCTTAACAGGGGAATTCATGACATTGAGAGTCAAAGTGCTATGAACACAATTTATGAAACTTTTTATTCCAACTTTAGAGCTTTCCAAACGAAAAGCTATTAATTAAATTCCTACTTTTGTCAAAGTATTGGGATTTACAACATGGTTCTAAAACAAGTGTTTTAAAACAAATGAAACTCTTTCTTAGAACCACGGATTAACGAAACTTCGAAAATCCAGTGGATATCAAAACACCAAGGAATTCCCTGTTAGTTGAATATTGTTGAACACATAGTTGATTTCTCTTTGTTTTTGTTTGATTGTGTGGCTCTAGTTGTTAGAATTTCCCATGTTTTCTAATGTAAAAGACAAAATGTGTAGAGTAGACATTGTTGCCAAAAAGGAGATTCCAATACCAAAGTATTATTAGTTAGATAAGTGTTAATTGACCAAATACTAAAATAAAACCATTGATTATACTGAAAGACGGTGTGCTCTAATATTTTTCTGCAGTATTACTTAAGTATCCTGGATCTGAAATTCGTTTAATTATGCAATATTTACCAAGTTGCAATGGACATGTTAGTTCCATGCAAAAGTGGTGAATATTGTCATCAGAAGTACATATTATATACTTATTATTTTTGGTGACTTTTAGACAAAAATACCAAGATTGTGATTAAACAAGTGACAAAGTTGCTTTAGTTATTACTTATAATGTATTGATTACTGGTAGAAAAAGAATAATTGTGTTTAAAATATTTATTTTAACAATAAGTAGAAGAGTTTACTCCGATCGGGGTAAATAATTATTTATTTATTGATATATTGTAAAAGTGAGAATTTAGAAAGTCGGTCTAAGCGTATTTATAGACTCAGATGTATTACTTACGTAACAAATATTGATCTTATATTGTTGCTCATAATATTAGAAAAGTGACTCTACTGACTTACTATGTTCCTTAACTTAGACTTAGAGTAAGCTTACTTATATATTTGTCGTTAAGCATCTCATCTGTGTTATGATATTTTCTCTGCAAATTTGTTGCAATTGATAGATTTTTTTATATAGTTTTTTATATGTTATTAAAGTTGGTAGAGTCTTCCTTGAATAGAAAATGGAATTGTTTTGAGAGATCTACTGTTTAAGTTATAAGGAATGTCTAACATATTTTATACCAAAATTAACTACATACTGACACAAAATGAATTATAAAATATTACAATGATATTAATAAATTGATTGTATACTGAAGTGTAACGTTTTCATCTACTACATACTTACCCTTGAAATACAAGATTTTAGCTGCAGATGTTAGTTGCTTGTGGATTTCGAATATTTTATAACTAGAGCAATATGCGGTCCAGAGCAACGGAAAAAAGCAAAAAATATGGGGTAAAACAACGTAAAAGTTATAAAAACAGCATGTTAAATTAGTACCTTTTCAGGTAGTCATAATGCAACTTTAATCTTCTTTAAAGTCAAATTACAATTGTTATAGTTCAGAAATAAATAGCTAAAGACGATAAATTAATAATATTTTCTGGTATTCCAAACCAATCGAGCTTCAGATATTGTACGATTTATAACTCGCTCCGCTATCCAACAGATATACGAAAGCAGCTATTAGACCAAATATCTGAAAAAAAATGGAACTAATTACTTAATTTTCATAAAGTTTTATTTTACTTGTTAAGTTGTTCGGTAAACATATTTCACATGCGTTTTATATGTGTTTCTTTATAAACTGAGATAATAATGTGGATATTTGTCAATTACGTCTCTTTCGTACAATTGGAAATTAAAAATGTTTAATAGTAATCTTTAATTAAAACTTTGCAAAAGGCTCATCTTCGCGATTTTCCTACCAGAATTATTTTGATTATCAATTAAGTTTAATAACTCTCGCTACTTACTTTTAATTAAAAGCGGTTCCGATTTGAATTTTTCTGAATATATTTTTCAATTTCAAATGATACAATTTTGGACGGATTACTTACGTTTCCGTTTTAAATACTTCGTTAATGCTTCTCTTATGGCTCTCAGGAGCAAAATAATGCACAAATAAACTAATAAAGAATTAAGCAAAATGTATCTTCCACTGCAATGTAGCGACATAATGACATCTTTTTTTAAATACAGGGTGTACATTTATATGTATATTTTATATTTTTTAAATATATACATATTTGTACTAATTCCAATCTTCAATTGAGGCTTGATGGTTAAATATAAATAATTGGCAGGGATGGTGTTAATTAGTCATAATTAAATAATTCAATAATTTTGCACGATTATTTAAAAAAAGTCTGAGCTGAAAACAAGTTTTCCTTTGGAAAAGAGGAATACATTTATATCGATAAGGGAAGCTGCTTGCAAACAGTGTATTTAATCTTAATTAGGAAACTCCTTTACAACAATTTGCTAGATGAAGGGTGTTTTACGAAAAGTAATTATTAAAATATGTTTGAAAGAGTCGGTTTAAACTTTTGCACATTTTGTATAAAACTATTACTATACTCTATTAGCAAATTCGAAGGATCAAGACCAAATCTTTAGAGACATATATAAGTATAAAGCAAAGAGTAATTTAGAGAAATATAACTTTTAAGTTATAAACTTACTTAAACGTTGCGAAATAAAAAATGTGAGAGTATAAAAGTTTAAATGGTCTGTACATATTATTTCCTTTAAAATCACGATTTGATCATTTTGAAGACCATTCCATTCCATTCCCTACCGTATTTTTCCTGTATATTGTACAATATTTTCAGCAAGTTGTTTAAATCGTCCCTATTTTTTACAATAGGTACCCACTTACCGCTCCTGCTCTGTGGTAACTGCTGTAATATCTGGCTATCAAAATTGACGATACGATGAGGAGGTAAACGAACATAAGCAGATGAGATACAAACTGGTATCTAAGTAGACCATTTAAGGAATGTCCAGCCTCAGTTAAGCTCAAAACGAGTATCAGAAGCGATAATATTATGCCAATAATTGTCCCTGCATAAAAGGCGTTTATTAGATCGTTTGGCCAGCCTTTAACTGCTACCAAGATCACAGCCAATAAACATGTCAGCTAAAAATGCTATTTTAATTGGAAAGCTAGCAGAAAAAAAGAAACATGTGTACTTACTATTTCTAAAAATTTTAAAATGCCTAAGACTGACTTGGCATGACTGGTTCCATAGACTACTTCCTAAAATAAAGTAGTAATAAATGTATAAATTTAATAAAATATTCAAAAATTAAAAGCTAATAGATAAAGGTTCCACAGAAGCTACTAATTTCGAAACCTTTTTTGCTGAATATTCAGAGCTCTAGATAATGAAATAGAGGTTTGATGACATTTCATTTGAAGCTAGAAGAAAGTCGTTATCAGTTCTGTTGTAAATGTGTATCATTAAAAAACATATCTCCATATTTAGAAACAAATATGCTCACTTTGGTTTATGGTTAATCTCAATCAGCCTTAAAAGCCTAAAACTTTGCCAGTTTAAAGTCCTTTGGATAACAAAGTAACCAGGAATAGGCACTGAAATTCGATCATCCTGCGCTTATTAATATATTTCCATATAAATCAATGAGCTGTTCTTAGATGATTATGTCTACATAATCCTATTGAGTTTCAATCAACGTAATCTTTAAGATTTCAAAAAACGTCTTACCATTTCAGTTAAAATATTCCAAAAAAATTGTAAAACTTTTCAGACCTACTTACCCCCATTATACGAATAAATCTCACTGTACTTTCGCTACTTTCGCCCTACGCTTACAATGAGAATAGTATAACAATTATTTTAGTTAACACCTAAGTATGATAAACAATTATCTTATCATTGTTTATCAATAATCTTGTTTGTTTTGAAGGGTCGGACTATTCGTGCTACTGCTATCAATGACGAATATTTTCATCCGAATCTTGATTTGTGAGAAGCATGGATATTATTAGCACCACATGTGTGAAAATGAGTCAGAATGTTGAGATTAAATAATCTGAATGGACTTCCATTGATTGTCTTAAAGGTACGTTGTCATATTATTCCTTTGTCTAGCTGAAAGTTCTATTATGCCTTATTATTTAAATATTGGAACTAAACTACTATTTGTAATGTTTGTATAATATCAAAACTTTTACAATGTTGGTAAAATGGCATGAGATTAATTAACAATTGCATCTTCAGTCGAAACCTCTCAGTGCTTCAAGGTAAATAGCTTCCATCCCGTATCCATTTTTATTTTTTCTCTTACAGCTCAACATATTGTTTTGCTTAGCTGTAGATTTTCGACTTTCAAATTTTCAGAAAATTTCAGGAAAACGTTTTTGTTTGCCTTATATGTTCCTTGTTTGATATGTCGCAACTTCTCTAACACGATTTCCAGATATTGCATATTGATTCTGGAAATTTAAATTAAGACGCGCGTATATTGCATTGAAAAATATATAGACGGACATTTTCAAAATCTAGGGCTTATTTTTTAATCCACCGCCTGTTGTGTTTTTTACTTCTAATTTTAACCCATTTTATCTGAATGTTATAATAGGATAGTGCAAACTACCTGTTAGAGCAAGCTGCAAGAGATTAGAGGATAAATTAACACAAACCTGTATAAGGGAGGCAGCACAAGAATCTCTTGAAATGTAGAATACGAAAAGTACAAATTAAGAAGAAAAAACATATTTACCAAAAATTCCAACAGAAGAAGGATGCACAAACAAGAGAAGAATATAAGCAAGAAAACCGAAAGGTAAAGGCAGAAGTACTAAAATTTTGTTTCTAGCTTTTCCAGTGGTGTGGGTAAAGGCACGTCTGTAGATAATTTAAAATAGAAAAATGTTAGACCACTGATTTTTTAAACAAAAAACATCTTGATTCAAATTCCTGTTCAATGTGGTCAAGTCAAGAGAAAAGGTCTCTTGACTTTTTTTCTACCACTTCCCGTTTGCGAGTAAACAAATTAAAACCGATTTATTGCACATCGTAATCGGGCTTTTATTAAAAAGTTGCCTCTGCACTAGTTTTTGTCGCCGATTGACAAAATTCTTATTTTTTATCATTTTGAGTAACTTTAGGTGTCACCTTCTTTTTGCGTTTTACGTAATTTTCAATAAGTTCACGTTAGTTGAAAACTTTATTTGTTGAAATGGCTGAGTTTTCAAATGTAAATTCTTTACATTTAAAAATGGAAATCCACAATTTCCAAACGCGTCTTCCAAATATCTGCGTCTTTGCAAACACCAATAGAAGGGTCATTGAGTCAGAAAAAGTAGCACTATTTCGAGTCATGCAAAAACTTACCAAGAAACGCAGATTTAATTGCAAAATGTACAACCTTCAACCCTTTAAAGCTACAAGGCTAAGGATCAATACCTTTCAAGAAGTTTAACGAAACAGCTCATTATTCTTTATGATATAAGTTATTCCGAGCAAATATTTGTCTTGCAGTGCATTTGGAATTATAATATTTAGACGATTTTGGTTCTTCGTGTTCTTAGAGCGACAGAATAATATATTTCTTTAATCATGGCTTTTCTTGCTTCATTCAATGTAGAAAAACACAGCGGAATTTTATTTATCCCTTTAAAGTCTGCGATAATGTAAACATTGATCTTTAAAAAATGTAGGCGATGTTTACAACATAAATAGTTTACTATGTTTTGTATTCTGTTTAATCACTTTCACTGGGAAACTTTTCTTTTAGTGACTTCAAAACCGGACGATCACAATATGGAGCAACTGATGTCGAATTTGGTCTCAATTATCTGAACTCTGAAGAGTTTTGATTCATATTATATTTCAAAATAAATCAAAAAACTATTTTTCTCTTTTCGAAATCCAACGTCGCCATCCATTTCTCAATGTTGCTAACGTGTTTTTACAGGCTGCAAATTGTGATGAAATAAATAATCAAAACAAAACAGATTACATTTATTTAACAAGCAATATCATAACTATTTGAATAGCCATAAGTTTTCTTCCTGAAATTTTATTGACGACAATTGACGATGAATTGATACATTATACATATAATAATTTATATTTTTTTTCACTATTTCTACACTTATAAATCTCATCTCAATATGCACAAACATGCAGTTCCCGAAAAAAATATCTCTAATATTTAGTCTTCCTTCCTGCAAATGCTTTATATACTACAAGTTGTCTTTAAAGTGCTACCTAGTACTTAAAAGCAGCTAATATCAACTTATAATAATAAGCCCACATAGGCACTAAAAGTAATAACACAGCGATTCCAATTATTTATATCAACGCCAAAGTTTTTAATTTCAATATTCTTTAAGTATAGTGAGCTGTTTAGATCTTCTAGTTCAAAATACAATATTAAATTATAGGAACCAATATAAAATTATTTTACTACTCATTCGACGAATATCGAATAGCAGGTCTTTTAATAAGCAAGTTTAATTATGTATGAAAATGTATAAATACAAGACAAGTATATGCTTCATAATAGAAAGGGTGTGAAAAAATAAAACCATCAATTATATTGCTTGTAAGCAAAATTTAGGAGGAAACTTTAACAGTTCTGTCCTCAATAAATATATTACCACTAATTAAAAGAAAAACTATTGCCTTCCACACTGTTGCAGTAGTAGTTTTTTTTTCGCTTAATACAATTAATTTGGAGCGGTTGAAATTTATTTTTTGTACGTTTTTTATATTATTTTTTTCCGCGCGATATCTACGTAGCTATCTAGCAATTTATATCATTGGAAGCTTGAAAATTTGCTCACCTAATATAATACACTGCTAATAGCAATAACTGGTAATATAAAACATCGAAAACATGTAAATCTTACCCCTAATTATTTTACAGCACAATTAGTAGAGCACAGCTTTATTGTCTCAATATTATTTTATGTTCCAAAACACTCGGTTACTTTCAGAAGCAACTTTAGCTAGATGGAATTAAAGCAAATATAGGTATTCAGCTCTTGCGGCTTTTGAAAAGTGATTTGGTTGGAAAAGTTACGAACAATAAAAACAAAAGACCAAATTACACTATTGATATTGTTATTTAAAATAATGTATATTGTGAGTAAAATTAATATAAATGTAAATAAACATAACATGGAAATTTGAATAGTTAACGGTAAGAATAAGGCAACAATTTTCTTATTATTTTATGATTATTATTAATAATCATTAAATAATTATTGCATTATTACACAGAATTGTAATCTACCTATACCAATTCGCTGTAAACGAAAAAATCCATGAAATAACCAATAATTAACTTCGATAAAATGATCCTTAATCTTTGCGTAAGATATAATTATACAAGTAAACAATGTGACGTTAAGGGGAAATAAATAAGAAACATTAAATAAATTATTATGTACTATCCAAATATTACAAGACATATTACAGCTTACTTTTAGACTGAAAATTGGCAATGACATGTTTGAGTACACTTTTTCATCCACTGATTATACTGCAAACTACATTTTTTGCTTCGAGGTGAATATCGCATTACGTAACGTTTTGACTAATTTCAATCGGTCAAGGTTGAATTTATTAATTCAATATCAGTTGCAATTCAAGCTATCATTCCAATTACGCGAATTTTTTTCTAGCACATTTTTTCTATTAGGAACAAATAATCGAATATTAAAGTAAGTAGTTCTACAACGAACTATGGCAATCGTGAATAACAATTATGCCGTTTAACCCCTGTTAATGCCTAACAATCGTTCTGCCACTCCTAAGTAGTAAACTGTTTGGGCAATACCAAACAGGGGAGCTATAACAATCATCCTGCAAGCTCCTCCTTTGAAAAAAGCCGTAGGGCCTTCGTACCGTAGAATATTTCTATAAAAAATAATGTTTGAATAGTTCAATTGAATATATAAACACTTTTACCAAAACTACTTAAAGTTAATAAAGTACTTTTTCCATACGTATGTTTACTATTTTGCCTGTTTAGAGCTTTAAATGATTTTAAGTGAAAATTTTGAAATATTTTCAGTTGCAATTCACACTTTCAAAAAAAAAGCATTTTGCAGAAACAGTATATTTTACTTAAAGCCCACAAATTGTTTCAGCTATTTAGCTATAATTTAGCTATATTTGACGACGATAGACGAAAATAATTTTCAATTGATTTTTCAGAAGAATGAAGACCAAATGTTTTAAAAATAATTGGTGGACCAAATTTGTTCCTTTACTGAACAAATTTAACTTTTTAGGTCCTTTGTCGATAAAAATAGCGCAGATTCATATGCTCAAGATCAGCAAGTTTTATGTTTCAAGCACAGCAAAGCCCGTATCTTAATCATGTACAAGACGCTTTTGTGTTCGAAATGCATTAATATAAAATGATAGAACAACATTAATCGCAACCATAATTTAAGAAAAAGTAAATTGAACCAAAATGAAGTTGTTGATAAAAGATAAAAATTAAATGCCTAGATAGTAAATAAGCAACGAAATGAGCAAAGAAAACAATGTAATTTTTATAAAAAGTTAAAAATTGATGCGTATTAATACTGTGTGGGCGATTCCGAAGTCATTTTCGCAAAATCGTAATTCATAGTATGTTAAACTCGAAAAAGTGTATATTAGTTCATTCTAATTTTTACGGTTTTTATTGAATCATAGACTCCTTTTTTGTTTCTTATTTCAATCTTCACGATTATTTTTAACTCTAAAAATAATGAGTCAAGCACGCAAAAAAAACGAATGTAATGTGCTCTTCACGATAAAAAAAAACTCATTAATATCGCGTATTGATTATATTTTGAAGCATTTTACACCGGTTCATATTATTTTCGATTAATCTGGGTAAAAATCTTTTTCAATGTCGATATTAAAACCTACAATTTAGATTTTTCTTTAGAAAATTATGACCAAAATTAAATTTAGTGGAGAATAAATTTCACATAAAATTCAAGGTAAGATCAGTTATACCTTATTATTATGACTAACACAAACTGGCAAGTATACAGGCTGTCCCGTAAGCACATGATCAAAAGAATACTGCGATATTCTTTGCATCAAAAGAAGACGATCTGACCTAACTTTTATTAACAAACCATGTCTGACTCCTCTTCTATTGATGGTCAAAGTTCTTCAGAAAAATATCTTTTTTGAAAAATCTACCCTTTTTCCATTAAACGTCGTAAACGTAATACATAATATTTGAAAAATGTCCGCGATTAATTCTGAAATGTCTGAATGAAACAGTAAAAATTGTAAATTTGAAAACAGGCGAAAATAAAATCGAAACCAATGAACTAACATTGTTGTTCAACAGCAAGGACAAGTTACAAGAATTAATGTAATAATAAAAAAGAAAACTCATACTGATTTATTTTTAGTCATAGACACAAACTGAAAAATAAAAGAGTGACAACTTACACAAAAGCGTTTCCAATCCCAGAATACGACCGTTCGCCCTCCGCTTTATGTATGGCTTGTAGACGAGTCTTAACAACATCGAATGGATTTACTGACAGAGCAGCAAAAGAGCCTGCGACACATCCTGACAAAAATGAACACCAAAACACCGCTTCACCTAAAGCAAAAAAAAAATGTGTGTTTATGCATAGCTGCAATCGACTCTGAACGCTGAAGGTACCTGATCCGTCGCTTCTTCTAGGCCCCAAGTCATTGAGAGTGGCAAACAGCGGAAAATATATCACAGAAAATGAAACATCCCGAAGCATAGTCGCACCTGTGCCCTTATACAAGCCTAAGATACCGTGCTGTCTAAACAAGCCCATGGCAAGTTCAGTGGCTGAGGTTTTTTGTACTGTTTTTCCAACTACAACAAAAAATCCGGTAATGTTTGCGATCTGTACGTATAACAGGACTTTTTCGTTCAACACTAGAAAATCTAAAGAATATCCGCATCCCGCTCCGCTTGCCTCTCTAATCGACACCTAACTAAATAAAAAGCATGTACCTAAAAGAGCTTGAGCTGCAACTCTTCCAGCATCCTGCATTTGAATTTTCAACAACTCCATTGGGGTCGTTATGACGATCTGGCATAATCCCGCTAATCCTCCGGCTAACATTTGCCGAAAGATTGGAAGAGTCCTAAAAGTTGCGCATACTTTAAAGTTATGGCAAAAATTCATAATATTTTGATATTTAAGCATAATTTTGCGTCATACCGTATATACCAATTACTAGTTATCGGAAAGATAGACAGAGTGTCTATTTAAGTTGGCAACATGTAAGACAGGTTTTTATTATTAATTTTACAAAAAAAAACACACAAACACCTAAAATAAATCTATAAATTTTTTTCAGGCGTTTTGGTCAAGAGTAAGTATTTTTATTTTTGCCCATATTGAAAATAGTTATTAAAAAAATTCATTAGAACTGGAAACTAGGTCCTAAAAATAATTTATAAAAATTATTAGAAATGCCAGCAACATTAAGGATGAAGATAAAAGTAAAATTGGGTTACAATAATACCGCAAAGCTGCAGAATTTTTTGCTAACAGACAGATAAAAACTTGACTCAGGCACGATTAGAAAAATATTAAATAAATTAAGACTTTTGAAGAAGTAACTAATAATTATTTAAGAAGCAGAATATAATAAAAAAATGTAAATGCAATTTTTTGATATTGCCAAAAATAAATAATTAATTATCGCCTAGTCAAAAAAAAATACTTTACACTTGAGCAAAATGCAAATTTTTGTAATAGCAGATGGTTTTATTTTACTTTTCATACCATGCAGAACCTTTTATAAAGAGTAACTATTCTTGTAAAATTAATAATAAAAAAGCTTCCAAACTGCTGCCTTCAGTATACGAACTGAACCTATAATATATAACATTTTGAGGTTGTTTCTAATGAACACTAAATTTGAAACTGGCGATTTTTTTCCGTCGTCTAGGCAGTCGGGAAAAGTCTTCCTGACGTTTCACAAGCATAAGTGGCCTGCATCTTCAGAGGTCAGCGTCGACCAAGTTTTTCCACAACTTGAAAGCCCACAAAATTCACCAGTTTAAAGAAATGCTCTATCAATAATCAAGTTATAAACATCAGTTGAAATGTTGAATTTCGAAATTGGTGTTATTTTTCAGAAGAAACTATAGAATGTTTTTTACTGATAATAAACAATATTTTTTAGCTATTTTGTTAAACCGAGGATACAAATCTAAAATATTTAATACAGAGCCTTTCCATGGAAAAACATGCCATAATAGGTATGTTGTCAATGTTGGGTAGAATGAAAAATCTTCTTTTATGGAGTTCATTTATAAATAGGTACCTAATAATTGGACTTAAAAATTAACACAAATTCGAATCTCCGTGTGTTGAATGTTTTCTCGCTTACCAAGGTGGTAAGCTCTTGATTACTGTAAAAACGCTATTTTCATATAATTTGATAATTGGAATTACAACAAATTTAACAATAATAAAAAATAATCGAAAATCAGTTTTTCTTTTTGTAAATAAAAAGACGAAAGAAATAAAACAGATGCCAAAAAGGTAAATGCAAGAAAGTTAACTAACACCCAATATGTTAAAAATTCTTCACCAATTTCCCATGAAATAGTTTCCAGTCTGTAGATGAATAGCAAAAATTATACAATTGGAGAAATCACAACAGGAAATAAAACTACCGACACCAAGCTCACAAACTCTTATTAAAACGACACAAACTATGGTAATTACGAGAGCAATAAAACTAGTTAATTGCAAGTTATTTACCTTTACAATCACTTACTTTTCTTGGGTTTGTAAATTATATCTGAAAAAATCATTAGCTGCCAGTTTTATAGCTTTCTCTGGAGTAATGAGAAGAATATTGACTGCAGATCCTCGATACATGCCAAGAAAGCCTTCTTGTTTGTATACTTTTTTAAAAGCGTCTATCCTGGAAGATTCAAAACATGCATTTATGTTATTTTAGCTTGTACGAAAATAATATTATTTATAAGTCATTAAGTATGAAACTTGTTTCTATTATTTTACACACTTTGGACCAACTTCCGTCTACGGTTTTCAAACGAAAACTATTTGTAGTTCAATGTGAGACAAACATACAAACAAAACGTTATACTTACATGTTATTATACATCTTTTCTCCATTGGGTCCAATCTGCTGATTCTGTAGCCTGGTTTTAACCAGGTCCAATGGAAAGACGCATGTGACGCCAATGATGCCAGCAATTCCGCCATTGACAATTTTTGGAACCAATCTTAAAGAAATTCGGCAATTTTATGTAAAAACTAGAAAGTATTAAATGCTTTTAAAATTCTTCGTAATTCAGCAAACAACTCTTTTTGACTGCTGAACAAATCTGATAATGTGATAGTCAGAAATGACCTTTGAAAGCTTCTGGACATTATGGAATTATATGATAAAGTAAGTATTCGATTATAAACAGGAATAAACCACTGTTATAAAAAGAATAGTGAACCTTTAAACTGAATCTACAAAGAATAACGAAATGCGGGCCAACAGGAACAGTTACTGATTTCTAGCGAACGATCGCGATCTTCAATTTGGTTTAGAATGATTCTTCTGATATGAACAATTTATCAACACAAAAAGCTTCAATTTACGTCTCATAATCAATACGCTTAGTGTTTAACAGACCAAAAACAAATCAGTAAAAGTGCGAGGAGAAAGTTATATTTATTAAATTTATGAAAAATTATTTACAAAAGTGACCGTAGTATTAATCTCTTAGTAACTATTACAGACAGAAAAAATCAGTTGAATCAAGACAAAGTTGTTCATTTTAAAGCAGACAAATCTACAAAATTGCGTTTTGAAAATTCCGATTACAGCAGAAAATGTTTATTTGCGTCTTAGATTTTCGTAAAATTGGTCTGTATAACATCTTCAGAGGTGGTTTGCTTGGGGAAGCAATCACTTCCAAAGATGCGAGCTTGAAGAACTCACTAGTTTCAATCTTCAAAACTATTTTTTTGCAGTGGCTACAAACTGTATTTTAAATATACCTCTTTTGAAACATAAGAGGAAGCTATCTGTTTTTCAATGGCATTTGTTGATATTACAAGATATCTCCCATAACAAAAATGAACAATTCCAATAAACATGTTTCTCATATCTAATACATGATAATAAAAACTTAGAATAAGGCAAATGCCCTCTTGTCAGGTAAGCTTCGGGTTTACCTGACAATATTATTCCAGCATTTGAGAGAACTGAACATATCTACCCAATGTTTACTTATCTACCTGCAACTATACATCTGCATGAGATATTAGACCATTTATATTTGAAATAAACATTTTGTCTAACCACTTGATTTTATCACGTAAACCATTTAATATCTGACGACTGCAATATATAAATATATATATTTAGAATTTAACAAGTGGGCAAAAAGATGCATAAAATCCTGGCAGTGATCCCACAATTAAGTATGCACATTTGCTACATCAGATCACTTGAATTGCTGGTTTAGTTTCGATTATAAAACAAAGAACGTCTACGAACAAATACTTACGAAAATGAGGATTGCTTTTCGGCCATATGTAGATGTTGCCTGAAAATGGAATGCAATTTATTAAAGGATGAACACACAGTGCTGGCCAAATGTAGCAAATCAGTTGATCATCAATTAATATGAACATTATCAAGTTTCATTGAACATTTTTATTGGAAAGTAATGGATTAAGATTACCATTATTTGTCCCTGATATGGAATTGATGTTGATCCTGTAGTACAATTGTGCTGAATTGTATTAAGGAATCTCACAATTTAATTGATTAAATAGGTATTGCTTCATTTTGTTCCATCACACTGTTTTCACTTAACTTATTTGGATAAAGCTGAACACGAGACGTACATGAACTATACATTTTATGTTTTTTCAGTAAATCTACATAAACTATGTAAAGTGCACCAATTTTTTTTAAATTGTGGATAAATGCATGTCATGCTTCAAAACTTTTCTTGATTACTAAATACTAACCGACACAAAATAGATGGGTATTTAACAAAGCATTATGCTTTAATGGCGCTGTGATAAACCACTTGCAAATGCATACTTTGATTCTAATTTCGTAATTAGATTCGTTCAAGGTAACACATAAAGTCTTCGGAGCATTCCTAGACCAAAATGCCACTTTTCCAGAATAAAAGCAATCTTAAATTAGAGTAACCAACGATGAAATTTTGGATTAAAATAAAACTCTTGCTGATGCAGTCCTTAAAAGTAAAAGTAAAAAGCAAACTATTAAAAAACATATTTATAATTAAACGGGATCGATATTTATTCATTAATTTGATGCAAAATTAAAATAGTTTTGTCACAATATACGTGATTGTCAAGTTTAAGGTCAAACTGTTCAATCTAGAACGAAAAACTGATAGCGAAAAAGAGCGGTTGAAGAGTACATTTAATGAATCTATAATATGATAAATATTGGGTAAATTATGCATTTGTCATTCGTTTTAAAAATCCATTGCTTTCTTCATTTATTTTTTGTTGTATCTTTTTTTTAATTCTGATTTGCCTCATAACGAATTATAAGTTTATTTTTATTTGTTTTCAAATTATTTCGCAAACGAAATATTTTAATAACCTTTAGAGTTGGCAAACGTATTAACTAAATAAATTTTAAGAATTTCTTTTTACAAATTCAAATCGCAAAAACCTGTCGCACTGTTTCATATTATTTTAAGATTTTCTTCATAATTCTACATAATACTGTATATTTTAATTGTCCATACTGTATCTATATATACTTTCGTGTATCGTTAATGTTCAGATCTTAATTGAAAGTAAAGATTGAATTTTACATACAGAACAGAGAAACGAACAATTTTTATAAGGTTAAAAAAGTGTGTTTGGAACTCAGTAGAATAATTTTCGTTTTTTAAACCATAATCAGATCAAATGTCTTTTAAAAGACAGAAGGCAGACCTAGTCTTGACCGCGTTGAGGAAAGGAATAGATAATGAGTAAAATATCGAAACGTGCATAAAAATATTAATATACGTAGAATTTGCAAGGTTTAATTGATACAAATAAAATAATTTCCATTATTTTAAAACCAAGAAACAGCCCAAAAGTTGTAATGAGTTTTGAAAGATCGATTAAACTGCTTGATATTTTTTTAACCCGGGAGCGCAGTTAAGTGATACCTATATTTTGAGTCCAATATTTAATGAACTGATAAAAATTAGCATTATGTGCTATTTTTGTGGGGAACTTTGCAAATGGCTACTTGGTTTAGTTTGGACGATGTGATTTTTTAAAGGAGCAAGTGCAGTTGAGTGAATCATTCATTTTGAAACCAGAATTTAAGAAATTGACAAAAATCCGTATATTATTATTATTGTGCGTATATCGCAACAATATTCTTCTAAAGATGGCGAATCTTGCGATTTGAATAGTTTAGAAGTTGCTCTAGTTTAGACGATGTGCATTTCTTAAGGAGAGCGCACAGTTGAGTGAAACTTCTATTTTGAGACTGGGATTTAATAAGCTGGCAAAAATCGCCATTATTGCCGATTTTTATCAAACTTTGTACATTTATAGGATGGTGTCTTTTCCACCGATGGACAAATTCTGAAATGGTTACATGATTCTGTTTGAAAAATGCGAATTTTTTGAAGAGAAAGTGCTGTTGCGTAAAACCCCATTTTGTAGTCGGTATTTAACAGGCTAGCAAAAATTAGTATTATACGCGATTTTTATGAAACGTTTTGTATATATGTGGAGTCGTCTCTTCTAACGAAGGTGGAAAGTGAAATTAGCTATTTGCTTCTCTTTGGAAGATGCATTTTTTTTTAAAGAGAGCACCATTGTCTATTTTGAGATCGATATTTCATAAGCTAGTAAAAATCAGCATTGTTGGAAATTTTTATGAAACTTTGTGCGCCTGAAGAGCGGAGTCTCATCTAATGATGCAAATTTTAAACTGCTGCTTGCTTTAGTTTGAAAGATTCAATTTTTTTAAGAGGAAAGCATTCATTTTGAAACCGGTATTTTAGATACTGGCTAGTACTGTAGTACTAAAGCTCACAGGCATCTCATGAAGATCATCACATCACTCAGTAACAACAAATGTATAGAACATAAGACAAATACATATAGCAGTTACATAAATAAACTTTGACTCGAAAAACTTTGATAAACATGTTTGAAAAGTGAGAAGCGAACTGTTTACAAAAAATGTGAAAAATCTCTTCGCGCCCACTAAATTAACGCTTACATATACGCTAATTCCGATTTTAATTTTCAAAACCAGTTACTAATAAAAGAAGAAAAAACACGAATTATTGACAAAAACATTATTTGACTCATCCAAATTGTTCTGCATATTTTGACTTTGCCTCTATTTTAAGTAACAATTCTTCCACAATTTACTTATCAGCCGATAGCAATATGCTTTACATTTTAAATATGTATTTACAATAATAAATGTTTATATTTTAGTGCTGATATCAAGACTGAAACAACTAAACAAAATCGTGTTATGTATTCTGAGGCAGAAATTCCAATTTATATGGTCAGTTGAAAAATAGTTAATTATCATATTAATCAGTATTCTTATTAATAATTATAGTATGTTATTGTGGCAAGTTCAAGTTGCTGTGCTGCTTCAAAAGTTAAGGGAAAAGAAAACGCCTTATAAAACGTATAGACAGATATTTGCTAAGACACGCTGTATATTAAATACCATTTTTCGAGCCAAAAGTCCAATATTTGTACCAGTTGATTACTAGGAGCATGCTGCATAAATTGCCGAGTCAAACACAATTATAGTATTTTGCACTCAGGACAAAATGGTAAATAAACTAATTTCTTCGTCACAAAAACCTCATCATCTCACTTTATTAGTAATACCCGTCTGGATGTATTTACTTATATCACCTTATCTCCCATATTTTATGAAAAGTGAATTTTTCGATAATAAAGTCGTGATAATCCATTTTCAATTAAGTTGTAAACCAGCTCGCGTTTATTACTTTTTTGTTTGATTTGTATGATTTAAATGACAATAAGTTTTTTTAGATTATTTTGTTGTGGGTTTGTCGTCAAGCATCATCAGTTAACGATGAGGATCCAAATTTTAAAAAGTTGAGAAATAGATATTAATAAAAAATATTTTATTATAATCAATTTAATTTTTAATTAATAAAGAAATATTTAATATGCAGATTATTAAATCATACAAAGGAAAGTAAAATAAAAAATATAAAGTGTTTACAGACGAATGAATTTCCTTTATATTTTCATTTGGCTGCACGTATGTCCTTTTTAAATTGAAAAATAATTTTTCGGTCAATAACCGGTCAATAAACAAATACATCAATATAAATTAACTAATACTGAAAATGAACTTTACTCATGATGGTTAGGAACTGTCAGTCAAATTATGTACCTTTAAAAGTAGTAGTAGTGTTTTAGCGTTTTTAGGAAAACCCCTTTCTACAAAATAAATTAATTGTATGTGTTACGTTTGGATATCACTGTATTTGTGGAAAAAAATGCTGAAATTGAATCTTACCGAAAAATAATTGTTTTATAATCTTGAATAAGAGTTATAGAAAATATTTACACCTACGTAAGTCTGAATTACGCCTATAATTTGAGCAAAAGTGAATTCAACTAGAGGGTAAGAGAGGAACCATTTCTGCAATTTGCACATTCAAATAAACACACAGTTTTATTATACTTAAGATTTTAAGGACATCAATTCCTATAGGAAGTTCTAATCATTTTTTTAAATTAACATTTCTTTCAAGTTAAATTTAGAAAATTAGAACCGTCCGAAATATGCATTTTTATCAGAACTATTCTGTTAATTGCCTTAATTAGCTTTATTAAAGTAGACCATTTTAACCTTCAAGCAATACAAAAATATTTACAGTACAACATTTATCAATAACAATAATATGAATGATAACAACAAAACAAAATTCAGAAGAAAATATCAGTAAAAAACGAATTTTTAATGCATTTTAAGGGCCACCTAGCTGTTAACAAAAGCGCTATTGATCAGAACCCAGGCCGATTTTCCCGAAAGCTTCAAAGCCCTTTGATGTGGAAAGCAGCAAAATTACCTGGAATTAGTTCAACGTCAAATCTGGGCGTCAAAATGTCTATTCCGCGAAATATTTTAGGAATAACAGCAAAATAAACGATTCAATACACGCACAGACAGTCGAGCACACGTACTGAAACACGGTAAAACCTCATTAAAATCGGACGGGAATTTTCATACTTGCCAGCTGATTCCAATGAAGCTCCGCTCAATAAAGCGCGTTGTTTCGTTTCGTTCATTTTCTTGGTTCAACCTGCTTCAACTGCTCACTACAAGTCAGGACCGTCCCAAAGAACCTTGATAGGTCAATGTGAGAATTTATCTCAAAATCGACTAAACTTTGTTTTCTCAAAAATTTTGTTCCAGTTCCCCTAAATAACTTTTTAATTTTAGATTTAATCTTTAACCTACTTAGGAAAAATGTTTAGTTTTTTAAATGACCTGGAAAGCACCCACGGAAACACTTTTTTATAACATTTTCTAATTTATTAGGCATCTAATTATGGTTTGGAATGGCAATGTTAATTAGCTGTTTTTTATTGTCAATGTGCAAATATTAACATTCATCAGAGAGAATCAGAACCTGGAGTTTTTCAAAAAGCTTAACTCTCTTGATCAGATATAATCATCATCTTGGGTTATTGGTATAACAACAAATATGTAAACACATAAATGCCAATAACACAAATAACAAATAAAATAACATCCAACATTGGCAAGCTAAAATAATAGCAACAAGCGTTGCCACACTCTTTGAGAAACTCTTTTATATATATATTTTTCAAAGAATATTTAATTTCGTAGTATTCTGATTATGTATGGCATATTTTGGGAATTCTTTTAGATCGTTTTACAGCAACGGTGTTTAAAACAAATGAAGACTGTACAGTTCGTCGCTTTATGATATTTACAAATTGTATAAACTGCTCAGCTTTTAAAAACGGTTATGAGACAACGTTGTTTGTCCATAAAATCTACGTCACAAATAAGGAAATCGGGAGGGGACGTTTCGGTGCGGGTTTAAAACCAATAAATATACTTTTGTTATCCTCCAAATAAAGCAACAAAAAGCAAACGAAACGATTTATACAAAAAAGAACAACAGGCGCATTGGCATATGAAGAAGCTGGATAGTTTCATATGTTTAGCAGCTCTTTAGTTCAGTATTTTTCTCGGTTTCCTTTGCCTTCCATTTCCATTTTCAATTTTCTTTGACCACGATGTATACATTGCTCTTTGAAAATTTTTAACAGTTAATTAAATCAACTGATTCCTGACAGAATATCTATATTAGACGAATGTTTTTTGTTCTGGAAACAACTAGTGTTTTTGTTGTGTGTGTGTTTGAAACGTGCTCAAATGTAGAAAAATCTTTAAGAGACATGTTTGTATGCAATTTATAAGTGCGACACTCTGAACTAATTCGAAAATACTTTAGCTTAGTTTTAGTTTAGTTTTCCTTTTTCCTTGATTTTTATTATCACATCAAATGCGCTAAAATTGTTATTAGTGATGTTTTGCAGCAACAGGCTTGATCTGATAGTATTCAAGTTGAAGAACAATCAAACAAACAGATAGAACGTAAGTCAGAATTATCATCATAACTCAGATCAGAATCAGAAAGAAACCCCTAACAAAATTTGTTATTTTTATTTGAAAGACTTCTGGATTATTAAGCTCGTAATATTAACACTTTTAAAAACTGGAACCAACAAAATGATCAATGAACATAAATAAAGCCTTATTGTTCCAAAACAAATATGCTCAACTTGGACTTGTTCTATCAATGGACTTTTCCTAAAATGTACGAAAGTTAAAACATGCTTATGCAAATATTCTTTAAGGATTCGATTGGAATAAATTTGTCTATCTAGAAAACGATGTCAATGTTAGGTAACTTTGCTTACGAAATCTACGAATTTCTAGGCCGTCGTTGAACCGGACGTCTTCGAAACGTTTTGCAGACACGAGTGCCATGCGTCCTCAGAATGCTTCGCTCTAAAGGTTACTTACATTCATATTTGCAAAACGTCCAAGTCAAATATTTTCCTAAGCAGCCTTTAAAAAGTCAGCAGTTTCAAGGAATGGCCGAGAAAGCCTAACTTTTGTGATGAGAATATCATGCTAACTAAATTCAAACTTGAAATATGATTTGAAACCTAAAAGAAAATGTTGACATTGTGAAGAACTGAAAACTTGAAACAAGTACATTTAAGTTTCTTTTAGAAACTAACATTTTTTACAAACTTCTTTTTGGGTATTT